ATTTACAACGACATAATTTACAACGATGCCATGAGCCGCTCGTCACATTTTAGACGTGTATGTTCAATGAACGAGAACATGTTGAAACTAAAATGAAGGCATAGATAACCATGTATTTATGAAAAGTTAACCGCTCATCAAACGTCATCTCCCCATCTCGTCTTAAACCCCATCTCGTCTTAAACCTAGAAATTGAATAATATGGGCTTGTTTTCTCATTTTTGCTAAATTTTACGCCAAGTTTATTGTTTTTCGGCATCTTCTAAGCTACTTGTTCTCGTTGCTTTCAATGAGGTTTGTTGAAGTTGTCGGTTCCAGAAAACCACATCTAGTTGGACGCTGAATTTCATTTGAGCGAATTTTGGCTAAATTACATTAGCTCAACTCTTGCTTGAGCGTAAAGGGAATATCTTGGTTCAGTTTTGTTACATTTTTTGTAAATTTTTTTTTCTTTTTTCACCTTGATTTTTTGGGTTGCATTCTATATCAAGAACGTCCTCTTATTTTACCTGCAAGTCGATCAAGGTTGATTTTTTGTGTTCCACACACCTTTTTCTGCTTCAAATGTTCGTTTTCTTATCTTATTTTCTATCTCATGTACCACAAAGGTTCAATCTGACACGCTGGGAGAAATCAATTCCTCATTCTGCCTTGCAACGTAAAATAGGAGAACAATAAGACTGCCACAGTCAAACGAACCGAGCTTTGATTTCTCCGCATTTACACAATCCTTCTCTTTCCTTACCTTTTTCGTACCGCTGATATATAAAAAATCAGTCTTTTGCCTACGTAAGAAGAGCAGCTTTTTTTTCGTTCTCCTGCGGCGTTTTGCCTTAGCTGTAAAAAGATAGCTTGCCTAAATTTTGAAGTTCGCTGGGCCTTCAAGAGTGAATTTACTATATTTTATTTCGCATATAGCCCCGGTAATCGCCCGTATTAACCACTTGGCTGCGTATTCCTGGCACGAGAGTTTTTTAAATCCACTATCCTTAGTAATTTGTTCCATCTTGGTTGGTACCGTAATTATTACCCTCAATGCATACCAATTTCCTGTCTGCGTAGCTTTATAAGAAGTGCTCGGCGCAGTTTATTACTTTTTTTGCCTCTTACTCTTGCCATATGCAATATAAGTAGTTGAGTTATGACGTCAGCTGGCTCTAGTGGAATTGGTCACTTTGCCCTGAATATTCAGCCGTGTTGCAACAAGCCTCTTTTTGAGCCCGAAAAACAAAAGGTCCAGGGTCGTGCGCCCTCGGATTTGAGTCGATACTGCCAGTGTAATAACTCCTCGTCAAGTTACTCCCAGTCGAGTGGTGGGGGACCTCCAGCTGGATCGAATCGGATGGCGGGGATGTCGAATTTTGGTACAAATAGTTCGTCTTCCGGCGGTGCTGGTATGAGCAGTAATGCCAACTACATAAGAGCCATTTCGGGAGGACTAGCATTTAGTTCAGATATGGACGCGAGGTGAGTTGTTGGTAGAAAGTTTTGGAATTTTTGAGACAGAAGGTCCCAGTTTAACTGGAAGGAAGCGTCCTATGTAATTGTCCTTAGAGAAGTTCCAGGGCAAAATAAAACCTTCGAAATTTTAGATTCAAAAGTCTTTTGTGCTGGAAATACGTTTCGTGTAATCAACCTTTTGAATTTTTTTAGAGGCTGCCAAAAATATTGATCAAATAAACTTGCGTAAATTGTTACTTATAAAGGCCTAGTAGAGTCGTGTTACTTTTAAAAGTGTCCCATTACTCGTTTCCTAGACTAAAGACTTGTATTAAGACTTGAAAACTTTCACCTAGACACATATTAAATGAAAGTCGAAATGCGCTATGGACGCAATGTTTAACTGAGCGCATTGTTTTAGTTTTGTGTAATGCAACGTTTAAAAAGTTCTGCAGGCTTAACGTTTAAGAGAAGGACAATATAATCTTAGAACTTTTCAGCTTCCTTAGAAAAACTTGGAATTTTCGTGATTCGATTAGGTCCAAAAAATAACTTGAAAGGTTTCAAAGTTTCAAAACTTGAATAGCTTGCTTCGAAAAACTTAAAGCTTTTCGCCAACTGATTCGCTCTATGAAACAACATGATTTTCTTACTTGCTTTAATAGCTTGCTTAAAAAAACTTTAACTTTTATTGCGAAATGATTCGCTCTATGAAACAACTTGAAAATATTCAATGTTTCATCGGTTGAATAGCTTTTATAGAATAACCTAAAGTTTCCCCATCCGATTTGCTTCATGAAATTTTTCGAAGTATTTCAAATTTCATAGCTTGAATAGTAGCTTGCTTAGAAAAACTTCAATTGGTTTTATGAAATCTTGAAATTTTTAAACCGAATTACGATATGGCTAAACTTGAAATTGTTAAAAGTTTCATTGCTTGGATAGCTTGATCAGAACAACAACTAATTTTTTGCGAGCCAATTGATTATTGGAGGCGGGCTTGCTAGTTCATATTCAATTCAGTTCATAACCAATAGAGACAAATATATAAGCCAATCATAATTCAGTTTTAAAACAGCTGGAAACAAATATGACAAATAAGTTAGAGCTATTCATAGTCTTTTTTGCTTTTTATTCCGACCATTGAAAATGGGGAGGAACTTTGTCTTTCGATGTGTTTCAGTTTCCACGCAAATCTCACGGTTACACAAAAAATCAGCAGATTAGGTCGAGTGATGTATCATATTAAAGCCCTTTTGTCGTGAGTGGATCTACATTTGAAATTTTCAAGTGTCAAGAAAAACCGATTAAAAAATTTTGCTTTGTCTTATTTCGAGTGAGGAACGTACTTACACGTAATCATGATTTATTTCGATCATTAATCTACATGTGCACACTAGCAGGCTTGCGAGCGTTAGTTTATTAGTACGAATTTTCTTTTTTTTCAAACCTAACTCGCAAATAAAAGTGTTCATTGAAAGTGTGCACTTATTTGAAAATTTCACTGTAGCTTCGGAAATTCTAAAGCATCTGTTCTCTGCTTTATTTGCGGCTAGAGTGTGTGAATAAGTAAGCATCTGTGGCTGAGTGATTAGTGCGTGAGGGGCATAATATCTAGGTCGCAGTAGGTCGTAGAGGTTCGAATCTGAGAAGTAGACGAAATATTTCTACTTTTTACTTTCGCACATTATAGAGCCTCTTTTTGTCATGTTATCGCTAGTGTTTCTGAAGCGCCGATTCGCCTCCTTGTTTAAATTCTCGTCTATGCAGTTTTCTACTTAATTCGCTCAATTTACAATGTTTTTTTTTGTAAAGGTTGACTAAGAAATAAGAAAAATGATCTTTTTTTTGTTGAAAAAATAGTCCTTTTTTAGATAAGTGTGGTCGGGACGTTCTTTGATGCTCGCACACTATCGGCTGTCCTTGTTTTTGGTTGTAAATATTCTGTGATTTGCTCCTACTGTTATGCAAATATATACCACTCCTACATTTCAGTTGCTTTAAACACAGCCTTCACTTGTTATTGTTCCGATCACCGAAAGTGGCGGAGAGGCGTTTTGTATTTAGGCTTTTTTCATTTTTTTTCACGCAAAGTCAGGTACCACAAGTTAGAGGATGTCGATTGATATATCATCTTGAAGAACTTTCAGTCGTGATTCGAACGACATTAAAAGTTTCCAAAAAGTTTTATCTTTCGATTCAAGTTTTATAACTCGATTTTCAGACTATTTTTGAACAACTGAGGCGAGCGATCAGTTTATAATAGAAAGGTAAACTTTTTTGCGAATTTTTGGGAATACAAAATTCAATAAAAGTTAATGTCTGCTAAAAAAAAATTGAACGTTTTTTATTCTTTTTTTTTCGGCGAAAATCTGTCGAATATGTGTAATCTACGATGACTATTGAATATACCCAGGTTCTAGGCTTTCGTTCAGATCCTCTCATGATACGACGGACAAAAACGAAACGCGTTGAAAAAAAAACGTTTGTTAGTTTTTTTATTGTGGTCGGAACTTTCTCTGCTACTTCCAGAGCAAACGGATATCCTGGTTACTTGTTAAAATTAAAACAAGAATGCCATCTCCGCAGTTTCATTCTGTTCAACTTTTTTGTCGAGCGTTGCACTTGCTGCGAAGATCTACTTCGTCTGCGAGGAAGCCAAATTTTTCTAACTTTTTATGCTTCTGCGTTTTTCTGTGCTTAGCGGATGAGCAAACATCTTACTTCTTTTGATTAGATGTATATATCCTTTATTTGACAACTGGGAGGAATTTTGGATTCGGGTGTTTTTTCCATGGTAGTCTATCTTAGTTAAGTATCCCAATTTTTGAGAAAAACCTGTCGGATATTGGGTAAAGCGCGTAAGAAGAGCAAAAAGTGATAACACCTAGCTTTTTAGCCTTGAAAAACCAATTTTGAAACTTGAGTTAGCGCCTCCAAGTCAACTGAAGCCATTATTGATTTTTCTAGGTTCATTGTTTGTCCATCTCTTTTTCTTACAAGCACTAAAAACGGCACAATATGGAAAAAAATCTTCAATTTTGTCTGTTGTCGGAACCTTCTGTGCTACTTGCACAGGAACTGGTTAACTTTTTTTATTTATCTGATGTTGTTGGTGCTATCTATTCTTCAATCTGTTTGTCTATTTCTGCTGTACGGTATGTTTTGTGAAAGTTGTTTGAGTGTTTAAAATCGTTCGTTTCGTTTGAAGTCACTTGGATGACATAGATGACGAACACAGGTAAAACTGGATATGTCAATTATTCAGATCTCTTTCTTGTACGATTTCTTACCAAATATCAACTTAGTTATACATCTAACTGAATCTTACCTCTCAGTCATATCTTTCTAATGATCTCAGTCACGTTTCAAAAGAACTAATTGAGCCAGTTCCCCTTTTTCATTACGTTTCAATAAATGCAAATCAATATTCTCCATTTTTGAAAGCTGTTGTGCTTGATCATTTGTGAAGTTTGCGGACTGCTGATCAAATTCATGATTATCCATTAATTTTGTTACGAAATTTTGCGTTTTGAATTGTAATTGTCAATTTGTTTCAGCCATGAGGATCTCAAGGAGCTCTTGGAGAGCAATAAGGACCCCAGCAAATTGGAGGCCATGAAAACTATCATAGGGGTGAGCTCATTTTCAATCTAGCTAATTACACAAGCAACGCTGCAATCAAGTGTAGTTAGCTTGATTCGAATCTAGCGGTTTGGAATCCTGTAAACGCTATTTTCTGTCATGTCTAATCATTTCATATTCTTCTTCATGCAAAACCTCTTTTTTGCACTTTTTTGTTGTCTATAAAGCTGCTGATAAAAGAATGAAGAGAATTTTTGCCTTTTTTTTCTAATTCGCGAAAAATTTTGGCAGCTTTAACATTGATTTTTCTTGTTCGCTCCAAATTCATTTGCGAAATTTTCAAAAAACTAACTGATGGATAAAATAGAGATGGAATTTTAGTTTCAAAGGTGGATTTTCATTGTATATTTCTTAGTGGAATGAAAAAAGTAACCAAAGGTTATGTTAGGTCAAATTGATTTAGTGGTAATGGAAAACTTCTGGGATAAGTGAGATTTAAATTGGGACAAGTAATCTAAATGGAAACTGGCAACAATTAAGATTTTGAACTGTGGCGCTTGTTTAGATGATCGCCAAAGGCAAAGACGCAGGAGAATTGTTTCCGCAAGTGGTCAAAAATGTAGTCTCCAAAAACGTAGAAGTGAAGAAACTAGTCTACGTGTATCTAGAGCGATACGCAGAGGAGCAGCAAGATCTAGCCCTTCTTTCCGTCGCCACATTCCAGAAGGCTCTCAAGGACCCCAATCAGTTGATCAGGGCATGTGCTCTGAGAGTGTTGAGCAGTATCAGAGTGTCTGTTATTACACCAATTATGTTGCTGGCTATCAAGGATGCATGTGCGGATATGTCTCCATTTGTGCGGAAGAGTGCGGCCAACGCCATTCCTAAATTATACAGGTTGGAAGCTTGATATATTTTTAGAAACAAAGTGTTGTAGTTAATTTGAGTAAGAAGTGTAATTTGAAATTGTGTAATTACTTGTACTTGAAATTGTGTTATTACTTGTAAGTAGTGTAATAATTGAGTAAAAAGTGTAATTACTTAACTAGTGTAATTTGAAATTGTTCTGTTAACCAAATCCCAACTTTCAGCCTTTGGTGGTTTGGAAACTTGGTCGTAAATATGGTATGAAAAATTGCCCTGAGCATGCTGAATGCCTTTTTAAAGTTTTTTTTATTAAATAGACATGTTTTTCAGAGGAGTATCCCATTTTTGCTTTGTTTTTCGAAATATTGCATTAGTACTGATCATTGTTCTGATATTTTCTCGTGTTTTTTTTTCAGCCTGGACGTGGATACGAAAGAAGAATTGATCTTGGCGATTGAGAAGCTGTTAGCTGACAAGACTACTCTAGTGGCAGGCAGTGCCATCTATGCATTCGAACAACTCTGTCCGGACAGAGTGGACTTGGTGCACAAGCACTACAGACGACTCTGCTCTCTCCTGGTGGACGTGGACGAGTGGGGACAGGTGGTGGTTGCCAACATGCTCATTAGATACGCAAAGACCCAGTTCTTGGATCCGAACGAGGTCAGTTGAAGCAAGTTCACCCCGGTTGCTCCAAAATCAAGCACAGATTGTTCCGACCATAGTAATCTTTGTTAGATTTATCGTGGTTGGAATAAATTGAATTAAAAAAAAATTGAAATAAATTTATTGAGGAAAACCACAGAAAATTAAAAGAAACAGTTCGAAATTCTTAATTTTCTGTGGTTTCCCTCGATAAATGGTAAGAAAAGTAAAAGGACATATGAATACAGGAAACATAGCAACAGTACCCCCCCCCCCCCTTTGCGTGGAAAAATCCCACCGTATGTTTTGCTTTTACCATGATTTCTTCAAGGTTCGGATGTTCAGTATTCGAAAACCTTAAAGAATTAAGATTGAAAATCATAGCTCGAAAATCGTACGCTGATTAGATTAAATTTTTGGTCCATTTGGAGCCTCAATAATCGAATAGCCCGCACTTTTTTCTTCAACTATTCAACACTATGTACTTTAAGCTATTTAATTTTATGGGTTTTTAAAGCGCAATCCATTCTGCCTTATTTTCATAAGTACAAATTGTGCAATTTAGTAGCAATGAGCCGTGAGAGTCTAAAAGGTAGAGTTTTTGCGGAAATAGTGAGTTCTCGTAAATCTCTCGCAGCTGTCGCAATTTTTTTGCAGGCTATTTTTCCCTGACCTATTCTCATGTTTTATTGAATTTCTCTTTCTTTGTGTTTTAAGACTCTTTCGTTTCGATGAAAGTATTTCAAACTCTTATACAGGCCGTGATGATTTTTTTTGGTTTTTTTTCATGAAAAGTCTGTCTCAAATTTACTTTTGATTTCTTTTTAAGTTCAGTTTATTTTCTTGGCTAAAAGGAAAGCAAACTCCACTTTTGAACAGCAAAATTAAAAAGGCTACAAGAAACGTGGTTGACTTCTAATTTCGAAATGGATTTTAATTATCAGATTTCTCACCGAAGTAAAACATTGATCCTTATCATCCAGTTTTCTCTAATTGGGTTACTTTTATGAAAAAAAGTTTAAATCATAATTGTTTCTGTAACTTTAAACAGCTCTAAGGCCATCTATTTTTGAAGTTCGAAAGTTTGAGATTGTTTTTAAAAAAACGAGTCTGTAGTTTTTCGTTTTCTTGCATTCATTGACTTTTTACAATTGTCTGTTGGCTATCTCTAAGAGTCGTGAACGTAGTGACTACTCTTGTATTGGTCTTGGTGATTTTTTTTCAGGAAAAAGTCTTTAAATTTGTTCACGCTAAAATTTGACTTGATTTTTTTTGTATAGTTAATTTTTTTGTTGAAAGGAACGCAAAGTGCACGATCGAACAGCGAAAGTATAAAGGTCACAAAAAATGTGATCCATTGCTAGTTTAGAAAGTGGATTTTGTTTTCAGATTTTCCACGCAGTGGAATACAAAATTTATCTATCGTTCAAATTTTAGCAAATCAAATTGGCTTATTTCTATCCAAAAATTGTCAGTCATTTGACAAGCAAAGCTTGTGTTATAGTATACACTATCATTTGATCCAACCTAAGTCGCAAATATTGTTGCGACAAAATGTGTTCATTTTGATCAATAACCATTATCAAGCTTTTAAATACAGCCTATTAAGTACAGCTTATTAAGCATTGTTTGTACTGAAACAAGCTATTAAGTACAGCCAATGCTAACGATTTTAACACAGACTATTATATTACAAATAGCACTTTAGCTTTCCGGTATCATGGTAAATTGAAATGCGTCCGCTAGAGTTGGTAAATTTCTTCTTTTTTCAAATTGACTGTTACTGCCAATGCGTCATAATAAGCTTGCGTCACTTAGCAATTATGTAGACTCATAATTGGCGTGCGTCACTTAAAAATTTTGTAGATTCAAAGTTCTACTCATTCAGTTTATCCCAGTCATGTTATCGGTCATCTTTTTGCTTGTGTATGCGAAGTCCGACTTCGCCTCTGTGTAAAATGTTCTTGAAGTTCACTGAGCTTCAAGTTCATATATATATTTTTTGGTAATTCGACAATTTAAGTTTTTCCAAAAAAATCTGTTTTTATTCTGTTTCATGCGTTCATGGCTCGTTTCCAATTGTCTTTTGGCTATGTTTTGTTAAAGTGTCAATGAACGAAGTGAAGACACTTATTTTTGTGGCGTTTTTTTGTCATGAAAATTTTTTGTCATGAAAATAAAATGTGTTTGAGCTCAACTTTGATCTTTCTCTTTTTTCAAACTGACTGTTACTGCCAATGCGTCTTAATAAGCTTGCGTCACTTAGCAGTTATGTAGACTCATAATTAGCGTGCGTCACGTAAAAAATGTTGTAGATTCAAAGTGTTACTCATTCAGTTTATCCCAGTCGCGTTATCGGTCATCATCTTTTTGCTTGTATATGCGAAGTCCAACTTCGCCTCTGTGTAAAATGCTCTTGAAGTTCATTGAGCTTTAAGGCCATATATTTTTTCTTTGTAGTTTGACAACTTAAGTTTTTCCAAAAAAATCAGTATTTTTTTCTATTTCATGCGTTCATGGCTCGTTTCCAATTGTCTTTTGACTATGTTTTGTTAAAGTGTCAATGAACGAAGTGAAGAAACTTATTTTTGTGGCGTTTTTGTCATGAAAAATTATAAAATGTGTTTAAGCTCTACTTGATCTTTCCCTGTTTGAATTTGCTGGAATGAAGGCAAATTACGCTATTAAACAAAGAACGTAAAAATGGCTCAATGAATTTAAGTTTCAAAGTAAATTTTAATTTTTAGATTTCTCAGCGGCATAAACAATTAACTGTTGACTCAATTTTACTGTAATTGGGTTTCGTTCTTTAATTGTGTACTCTAATTTCGAAAAATAATTTTTTTTTATCGTTTATATGCCTTAGGCTTTATTTTATCGGCTCAATCATTTCATGTCGCATCGTTTGAAGGGGAAACATCTTTATGCTTTTGTACGTGCAAGGAGGGTGTAAAAGCTCTAAAACTTGAGCTTCAAAACTAATTTTAAAAGTTGATAGTTCAAGCAACAATTTCTAAGTAAATTTTCTATTCGGCTTTTTCTACCCTAGTTTTGTCGGAAGAATAGCCGCTCTATAAGTGGCACTGGCTGCAAATTTAACAGTTGCGATATGTTTTTGGACTGTCTATTCGTGAAATTGGACATTAGTCGAGAGCAATGTAAAAAAAATTTTGTACAAGTGATTTTTTTTCAAATAATTTCAAAGTTTCAGTGACCGCAGCGAAAACATCTATATAGATCGAAATGGCTAAAAATTTGTTAAGGAAAAGGACTGAAAATTTATTCACGCCAAATTTGATCTTCTGCGATTTGAATTCTGATTTGTTCTAAAATTTCCTTAAAATTATTTGCTACTAAAACTCGAAAAGGCTGAAATTTATTTAGGAAAAAGGCTAAATTTTGATTCACGCCAAATTTGATTTTTTTGCCGTTTTTTCTTTCAAAGTTTTCTTCAAATCATTTGCTAAAATGAAAGCCAACCACGCTCTCCATTTAAGAACGCGATAGTGGCGCGAAAAAGCTTGAATGGCTTCTAGTTTCGAAATGGATTTAATTTAACTATTGGGCCATTTTTTTTTTCAAATTGGGTGATTGTAATTTGAAAAATTGATCATAAATTGTTCTTGGAAATCAAACTGCCTCAAGGCCATCTATTTTTTCTTTGAATAGCAAAAGCTGAAGTTTTTTCAGCAAACAAGTGGGCCATTTGTTTTCGGTTTCCTGTGTTAAATGACACTTTTTCAACTGTCTGTTTGCTATGTTTCTATTTTGTAAGTATAATTTCTTGAGGCATATACGTAATTGCAGAATCACAAACTAAAAATGTTTAAGAAAATTTCAAGCCCTACAGAAAAAGAGTTAATTGCCAATAAGTTAGCACTGGCATTCTTCGATACGGGAACAATTAGCGTGCTGATGTGGACTTGCAGTTGACGTTGAACTTCCCTCTACGGGCAAAGAACTGCTTGAGCTAGCTCCACTCGTCAATAAGCGGGCATCCATGTGAGAAAATTTGTATCTTGGCGGGGGAGTTCGTTGACTCATCTCGAAATCACTCAGAAATTTATCAACTTCTCCGACTAAAGGGTAGTCGTTTTGATTGGCCAGCACGTGTTCGTAAGATGGAGGCTTGAAATTAGAGCTTGATGGGGGTGTCCAGTAAAAATCTGTATTTTCATTCACCCGCTGTGATGATGATGATAAGCCGACTCCCTCATCGTTGGAAGTTATAGTGACCTAAAATAAAAATCAGTTTTGAGTTCTTCTTCTTAGTTTCTCATTTTGACCGCCTAATCTTGCTCACCTGGTTCTGCGTGTCCATAAAATGACCTTTGCCCTCTGACATTTATCTTAGTTCTTGGTATTAACAGAATATCAATTGAGCATAACTTGCTCTGTACACTCGACCATCATGAGCAGATGCATGTTTTATCTCTGAATTCTTAAGTTAAGCATTGAAGTCGAAGTTTCAATAAATTTCAAATATGAAGCTACTTTAGAACAGCGAGTATCTGGTTTATACTTTGAGGGTAGTTACTCAACCCTCGACATATTTTGTTTGAAGATGTAGAAGGTTCTTATTTACATTGAGCTCAGATGTTTGCTCAAATGTTAAGAACTGATTTGATATGTGTGATCTTAGCTAAGACAAACTAACCGCATGGGGAGCTGAATGCACGAAACTTCATAACCAATCAATGCACTTTAAGCTGGCCAAAACTGACTGATTTTATTACCCATTTCCTTTGAATTTATAAAAACAACGATTCTGATTGGCTGACTAAATTTCCGCGCATTCTGTCCTTCGGACATGTGAGATTCCTCGTGCCGAGATTGGAGGTTCTACATGGGGTACATGTGCATAAATTGTGACACTTAACATTCTGAGATATTAATAATTGATGAGAGGTCGATCAAAATTTTCTTCGTGCTCTCGATTTTCCTTAAGAGTTGTAGGACTGTATGTTTAAAATCTATGGTTTCTTAGGGTTGAATATATGTGTAAGCCCATTAAGCAAATGTTTCAAGTCGAATTCTATTGAAAGTTCGTTCTGAAAGCGCGTTCATCTTAAGAAAGTGCGATCAAGTTAAGATTGCGAGGGTTGAACAAACAGTATGATCCGCAAGTTAAACTGATGTGACACACTAACCGTGTCGGCTTCTTCCTCGAGGGCCCTGCTGGCCTCCTTGGCCACTTCCAGGGTGTACCAGTACCACACTATCCAGGGCAGAGCAGAGAGGGAGCTGGAAATGTGGTATGTCCAGGACAACTCGTGGCCCCTGGCCCTGTTGTGTTTCCCATAGTTTCCCAGCACGTAAATGATAAGAACGGAGTGAAGCATTAGAAGAGGTAGTTGTATGTAATTAGACACCTTCAAGCAGGGTGATCAATTTATTTGGAGGATATTGTTTAAAAGGCGTTTGCTTATATCACCGATTTTTTTTACACAATCGAAGCGTAGTGTTTTATTAAGAAATTTTCTAACCCATGTCGCAAATAAAACAAATTCATTTAATTGTTGGTACTTTTGCCGCGATAGCATTATATCTAGTTTACTTCTGTTCATAGCATTATATCTTTGTAAGTGGTTTATTGGTGGCTAGTGTTTGAATATTGTCACTCTGAATCTCGATGTCGGCGGTTTGTTTCCGGTACCTAGTTGATATTTTATTACTTTACCTTTTCCCCTTTTCTACATGAAAACCTGCAATCAATTCAAATATCAATTCTTTACCGATGTAAATGATGCGAGTTGAAAAAAATCCCTGTGGTTTTTTTAGCTTTGTTTTTTTTTGCTGTCCTCTCAGATTTTGGAGGAGTTGGTTTCTTATTATTTAACTAATAATTGGTAAGTGGCCACCCTGCCTTTATGCTGAACTGCATCTGGTAAATCACAATTGGAGAGACTGACAGAACAAGCAGGGTGTAGGAGGAGGCTATGAAGAGTGCCTTGAGGTGGCCAGTCTCTGGGAAGGAGTAGATGAAACACTTGCCCATGGGTAGTACAATTGTGATAGAGGGGGGTCCCAACAAACTGCAGACCTCTTGTATGTAATATACAGTGCATCATTGTTTTCAGTTTATTATTTCGAAGTTTAGTTTTTCTAGTGACCTCGATGTAAGGCGTAAACAAGGATAGGAGGTCGCTGTACGAATAGCAGAGAATTTAACAACCACAAAAAAACAAGAAATTAGGAAAATCGAAAAAAGAAACATTTCGATAGTTTCGATAGTTTTTTTTCTGCAGTAAAGGGTGAATAAATTTGGTAATAATATGCCAAATGTGAGGTACTTATAGCTAAGTTAACATGAAAATCACAGAATAATTTAATTGAGAGTTCAATCTCTAACGGTGTCATTTGCAAATTAGTGCAATTATTTATAATTAATGTGATGTGGGACCCTTCTCTCACAAATGGTTGTTAGAGGGACCATTCTATCACAATTGTACCTTGCCGATATCATGTCTACACACATGAAACAGTCCGAAGTAGTAAGTCACGCTAAATGTGTTGCGTCCAGCGGAGGGTTGGAAGTCATTGGAGTTACCTGAAAAAAAAAGTTTGTTGAGAGAATACTATACTAGTTTGCAATATTCAACATTTATAATCCAATGAAGTTAATTACACTAGTCTGCAGCGTAGTGTATTAGTGCGAACCACCTTTTTGTAAAGCTAATTCGTAAATATAAGTTCATTGAACGTGGAAAGTGTTCACTTATTTGGTGACCATTTGCTATAATCACGATCTGCAGGATTGGGAATTTCATTGCATCTGTTCTCTGCTTTATTTGTGGCGAATGTTTGTCGTTTATTAAGCGTCCATGAATCAGTGGATCGTGCGTGAGACTCTTAATCTCTAGGTCGCAGATTTGCCGAATTTTTTTTACTAATTCGAGCCCTATTTCTACTTTCTTATTGCACTTAATAGAGCTGCTTTTTGTCCTGTTCTCGCTAGTTTTTGCGAAGCGAAGCTTCGCCTCTTTGTAATTTTTTTATAGTAGCAGTGAAATACTCAATCGCTATACTCAACCGGAAGATAGGCGGTTCGAGGCCCAGCTTTGACCGATTACTTATTAAAGCAGCATTACCTTGCTCCGGTTCTCTGTAATTATCCAATCGAGTTCTAGTTAGGTTAAGCCTTTCATTTGTACTTAAGTCGTATTATCATAATTTTTATAAGTTCTTCGTGTCTGGTTCCTGATTATAAATGGTATCATTCTTTCAAACTGTAAAGGAACTTACTGGTTGGTTGATCATTGGTATGGATAAGAACGGTATGGAATATTTTGGTTTGGTTCATTTTGTCTACCACGCCTGTCACTGTGGTGTCAACTGTCAAATTGTGCAGCAACTCCCAACTCGATTCATTGCCGAAGTTCTTCGAAGAATGATAGAAACTGTTCGTCGCTTCTACACTAACTGACCGGTAGCTCCAACGGTCAGCGAAGGTGCAGTATATTGATATGTAAGCACAAAACAGATAAGCTGCGGGAGCTAAGAAACAGCCCTTAGAAACGCCACCGCACCTCCGAAAACGACGCATGTTTAGAGAAGGATCTTTAAATTTGAATAATTGACGATTATTGGTTTTAGCTCAGAGAAAAGACCCGTTCCTGCTTGTCGTGAAATACGAAGGCGCTGTTAATTTTAATTAGCCGGGCGATGATTGTTATTTTGCATGAACTTATTCAATAAATATTTAAAAATATCAAATCTGAGTTAACTTGGTAATTGGAAAACCACGCGCATTGCTAGCTGATAGAACTAAGTCTTGACTAATCGCATTTTGCTCTACTTAATTTGTTTGCCCTAATTAAACAATACTTCAGTATCTTAACTATGACATGGCCATGACATACCAGCTTTTGTCTTAGGTATCGACGTCCGTATCATGTGATTATAGGCCATTTCAACTGTCAAGAAATATGGTTATCATTGTCTAGATAGTTTAAATTTGAATGTAATAAGTTGCCGTGTTAATGTATGAATCTTAAGGTCATTATCAGCTTCGTCTTCTGTTTTCAAATTGAAAACATTGGTTGTAAAAGAACCCTGCAAAAGATTGTTGCGTAACGTTGGTAGCAGCTGTAGAATAAAATGTGGAATTAAATTACAATGTTTACCTGGAATATGGGTGTGCTTATTCTTAACGTTAAGCTAGTCTGCTCTCAGCAATTTGTATAGCTGATTGCCAACAGTAAATTCTGTTCAATAGCAAAAGAAAAATTGAGCGTGGTTGTGATTTAGGGCGATGTCTATATGGACGAAGAGGCGCCCAAGCAGACATCCGATGACCCGAGCAAGTTCTTCGCCGACTCCTCGGAAGAGGAAAGCGAAGACGAGAAGAACTCGGTGGCGTCCAGCGAGAAAGCTGCAAGGAACGTCATGGACCAAGACCACCGACTGCTGCTGCGAAATGCGAAGCCACTGCTGCAGAGCAGAAACAGTGCAGTGGTGATGACTGTGTGTCAGATGTACTACTATTTGGCCCCTAGATCAGAGATGAACTGCATCGTCAAACCCATGATTAGACTTCTCAAGTCTCACAGGTGAGTTTGTTTGTTTGCAATCATCAAAAGAAAGTGTGCTGAACGCGTGTGCTCAATCATACAAATAGGTATCATTGAGAAGAGTTATAAGGCTAATAAAGGGTTTTGGGTTGCACAAAGGAGGAAGTCACTAAGGGAAGAGCGACTGTTGAATGGCTCATATTTTGCTTCTTTCCTCGTTTCTAAAATGTGTTCACTTTATCGAATATTTTTGTTTCTGCTCCCTAATTACTGTATTTTTGACTGAAGGCAGACTGTTTAAATGGAGAACTATCGTTGAGTTTATGCTAGTTCTGTTTAATGGCTAATGCTCATACTCAAGTTAGATAATAATAACGAGACATGTAATTTACAGGGAAATTCAGGCTGTAGTTTTGAACTGGCTAGTGACCTTCTCCAAAAAGTACAAAGCCATAGTGGAGCCATACTTGAAGAGCTTCTACATCAGGGCAAGTGACCCCACACACGTGAAGCTGTTGAAGCTGGAGATACTGACCAACCTGGCCAGCGAGACCTCAATTAGCATCATTCTCAAAGAGTTCCAGGTATATGCACACGTTTTAAAGCTGAAAGAGCCAAAAGTTCAATCTGCATGTAATAATTTTCAAAAAATAGGGCTAATTAATGCCAATTGGTGGCAGTATCAGTGACTGTGAGCAACTTAATCGGTCAACAAAAGCTGCTCTAGGGTTAATTATATTCTTGAAAAGGTTTTAAAGTATATTTTTAACAAGGCTTTAACGTGCTGAAGGGAAAGAAAAATTGATTTCCGACGTGAAATGAGTTTTTTTGTTTTTCAACTTCGTTCAGATTCTTTGACCTGGGGATATCGGCAGCAATTTGACCTACACAGTATAATCCAAAGCCTGGAAAATCGTTTCAGAAAATGCGATTGATGTCATATTCAAGAATCAGGAAGTCCTTGATACTCTCATGGACTTATTTGCACGAATGCAAAAGTAAACCTTTTAAATGAAGCCTGTATTTGCTGTTACTCTTTCTGATATTTAGCGTTGACTTCAGCAAATATAATCGATAATGAAGTCAAAGTGAAAACGAACATTTTATGTAGTTGATAGTTCAACTAAATTTATGGTGTCATAAATTGTTTGAATTGCTTGTCTTTTTAGGCCTATGTTCACAGCAGTGATCCTAAATTCGTGGGCGCAACCATTTACGCCATTGGGAGATGTGCCACCACAATCAGCGAAGTGTCAGACCAGTGTCTTCATGGCCTCATGGGCTTGATGGCCAGCAAAAACGAAATAGTCGTGGCTGAAAGTGTCGTCGTCACCAAAAAGTTACTCCAACAGAAACCGGAGGAGAACTTAGCTGTGATTGTGCACATGGCAAAGATGATAGACAAGATCACCATACCCCAGGCACGTGCCAGCATTCTCTGGATGATCGGAGAGAACTGTGACAAGGTGCAGAAGTATGCACCCGACGTCCTCAGGAAGTTCGCAAAGTCATTTCCCAATGAGGTTCGTTTCCATTTGGGTTGTAGTTCTCAGTTACTGAGTGGTCTTTAAGTGCTCCTGAATGTTGAACCAGAAAATAGTCCTAGTATTAGAAATGTCAGAATGGCTATGTACTTACAATACGCTTCCTATGATTTTTTATTTGCTTCTAATATTGATGGTTAGTGAAATAGTACTGAAAGATCTGCCGTGACCAGAAAAATGTAGGGTTAATCGACGAAACGTAGGTTTCTAAAATAGAATGAAATGGGGAATTTTTGGGTGGGCGTTAGCCATGACCAGAAAAAATCTCAAGGGTCCCCCTCCCCCAAATCCGACACTAACTTGATCTTTAATCGCTAGAAATTGATTGGTTGTAAGACATTCTATATGTCTTATTTCGCTCTGGTATTGGAATGGTGTGTTTAGGAAGACATAGTTAAGTTGCAAGTGGTGAATTTGGCGGCTAAGATGCTAGTGACGAATTCGAAGCAGGTCAAACTTCTAGTGCAGTATGTGCTCACTCTGGCGAGATTTGACGAGAACTACGACATCAGAGACAGGTCCAGACTCATCAGGGCTCTGGTGCTGCCCACGAATGGAAAGAACAACCTTAATAAACACGCCAAGAAGATACTGTTCTGCGAGAAGCCAGCACCTGTGCTCTGCTCCAACTTCCAGTGTATGTACAAATATCAGTGTGACATTGATTACACAAGCAAACACTTGGGTTAGAATACGAGTTCGCTTTTTTCCAACCGAACTTTGTGCTTAACTTCTTGTCGAGAAATTTAGTATCATGTGTTATACCCGACATGGCGACTTTTCATCACAAGCGACAAGCGACAATTTTTATCTTTAAGAAAAAGCAACAATTCGCATTCAGCGAGGAGGAATATCAGGCGATAAATGATAGCTTTAAAGTTTTGATCGGATCAAAGGAAAATAAGATGAAAGATTTAATTTAAAGAACAGAAAAAATTCTAAACCAAAATTGAAAGAAAGCCCATTGACAAAGTTGCTCGACAATGTTAGTTTTGTTTTGACTGAACAGCTCAACCCTTTGTCTTTGGCATTTGTCATATATTGACATTTCGGCGTTGCTTTTTCCGGCGGTGATTAGAGCAAGCTTATTTTAGGACACGCTTTAATCTTTCATAAGGAACTGGATAATGTTGAAGACTTGATGAACGTAGCGAAGACTCTTATATAGGTCTTTTTTTTCTGAAAAAAAAACAGTCTTAAAATGCTCTATAATAACTACAGAAATGCATTTATGCATGTTAAAGCATTTCTGACTGCACTTAGGTATATATGCGTTTTTGAGTTCAATTCAAGTGCAAAGCTAGACAAAATACGCTCTGAAAATACAAAAGCGTAAATGGCGCAAAAAACGTGAAATTCTAAGAGCGTTAACTCGTATATTGTTTTCTTTGAATTTCGAAAGTTGAAATTATTTCTAATGCAATAACTTATGTAGCTCTTAAACAGGGGCACAACAGCGGTTCGCCGTGATGAGCTGTACAGCTCTTGTGTTGGTCCTTTCCCCCGTGGATAAATGGTCTTAATTAATTTCTGATTCCCATCTACAAGGCCCTGTGCCAGCTCTTGATTGACTTGTTTGTGTTTGCCTCACGTGCTTGCCTTCGTCACGTTGTTTTGCAAAAGGAACTAGAATAGGAGAAAAGTGAATAGTTCTTTGATTCCGCCCTGACGATAAGGATTGGAAACCGGTTTTTACCAGCTGTTTATTGCTGGTGAAGACCAGTTTTGAATCCTTCTCGTCAGGGTGGAATCAAAGAACTATTCTCTTTTGTTCCTGAAGGTCCAGTATAAGTCGAAAGCACTGCATTTTTTGCAATCTAGTGGGGCAGATGCGTAAGCTCCTTGTCGTTGATAATTGCAGGTTAAGAATTAGTACTTTGATAAATACACAAAGTTCTAAATATTGTTTCCTGAGTTTTCATCAAATTATTCGTGGGGAGCAAGAGTTGCTTTACCTTGTGCTTTATAGTACCTTGCATCCTAAAAGTACGGTTTTGCTACTCACGGGCAATTTTTGTTCTTTCAAAAATTTTTTGTTCCTTTTACTAAAGGTATTACATACTTGATGGCCCTTTCCTTGTGTGAAATATTCTCTTTACCATGTTCTTCAGTAATTTCTTGGTAGCTGTGTGGCATGGTGAAATCAGTAAGCTTAAGACTTGTGAGACGAAATTGAAAAACTGAATGAAACAAAATAAGTTAAAAGCAGTTTTAACAAAAAATTCAGTTTGCTGCTCATTGATGTTCAGTTCAAATAGTCTCTTGCTAACAATTATTGCTTTAATTTTTTGCTAGCTAAGAATTGTGGCCCTAGTTTTACCCTCCTTATTTGAGCTATTGGTATTTAGTACTAGTTGTTTTGTAATCTCTGCGAGGCAGCAATGACGTTTGCTTTAGCCAAGAAGACAGGGCTTCGAATCAATCAATTAGTTGGAAAATTCGTTTGTACTAATTTTTATAAGCGTTTGTACTTATTTTTGTGTTTTCTTTTATTTTAAAGCTCCGATTTGTCATTTTTTGTTGTGTTGAAAAAAGCTCATTCCTTCTTAAATAAATTGGAAATATCGTTTGTTTCAATGTGTGCAATACGTTAGAAGTTTGTGTGAAAGGAGTAATTTTTTTAGGTTTTGTATTTTTTCCTTATATTTTGGCGGCTTGATTTTCGATTTTTTCTTTGTTTGCTGCGAAATGGTTGGCCATATTGATCAATAGTAAACGTGGAAATTGTTTTTTTTTGCAAAAAGCATCATTCATAGAAATTTTTGTGAAAAAGAAGAAAGAAAACTTTTATTACTTTACTAAAAAAGCTAAAGCATTAATACAATGGCTACCAATTATTTGTTTCGTATGATTGCTTATTATATAACTAGCTTTTGGTAAACTTAATGCATTAAAGGTATGTAACAAACATCAGGTCAAGTCTGTTAGATTTCTACAGACGCCAATTCTACATGATATGTTTTTTTTTAATCGAAACGTTCTGTTATTTTTCGTTCCCTTCAGTCTGTTGGCTTTTGCCCATTTTGCTGAGTTTCAAATAAATTCATAGTTTAAATATTTGTGCAGACGTTAGTATCGTCTTTTTAAAATCCCAAGCTAATGCCAAACCAAATCACTTGGCTCATATAAATGAGCTTTTGGGAACAATAGCCAACCAAGTATTGAGACAATCGGATTACTTTCAGAGTTCATTGTGTAATTCATAGTTAAATCCGTCTGCATCCAATAACATTTGTTAAGATTCCAACTGCCCTGGTCGCATGAAAATTAAATTAATTCTTTGCAGCTCGGAACGAGTTCAGAATGAACACCTTGTCACACTATCTGAACCAGCGGTGTGAAGGCTACGAGGAGCTTCCGGATTGGCCGACAGAGAAACCAGATGCTTCGGTTAGGAATGTGGAACTACCCCCGGAACCAACGCCGACACCCTCGTTCTACGAGCGAGAGCCAGACACGAAGTCGTCTAAAACTGACAAGGGTGGCAAGACGAAGAAAAAGCCAAAGAGTTTCTACTCGGATGGTTAGATAACAGTTAATTTGTTTTCAATTTTGTTCAAACAAAAGAAACAATCAACTGAAGCAACCTTTATTGAGTTCACAAAGCATTAATAAATACCGGACTTTGTTTTCACAGACTAGTTTCACAGAGCGTTGATAAATAACGGACTTAGTTCATTTTGAGACTCTGGGATTATCTTTTGGCATACATTTTGTCATGATAATGACTTGACTTTTTCTTATTGTGACAAGAACAAAGATATACTTAGGTGAGAGTCTAAAAGTTGTAAGTTGCAGATGATGACGAGTCTGAAGATGGAAAAGAGAGTGAAGAAGAAGAGGAATCAGAGGAAGAAGACGAGTCATCTGAAGAAGAAGAAGAAGAAGAGGATGAAGACGACAGCGGAAGTGGAAGTGGAAGTGAGGAAGAAGACGCGAAGAGTACGAAGCCCGTAAAAGGAAAGTCCTCCTCTCTGGCCTCGAAGGAAAAAGGAAACGTGAAGACCAAAGTGGAAAAGAAGAAGAAAGACGAAAGCGAAGAGGAGGAAGACGGGGATGATGAGGAATCGGACGAGGACGACGATGATGAGTCTGAGGAGGAGTATTCGGGACGCAAATCGGACGATGACAGCGAGGACGAGAAGTCACCGAAGGTGAAAAACGATAAAGTCAAAGCGAAAGAGGCATCGAAAAACAAAAAGGTAGAGGACGATTCGGATGAAAATGAAGATGCAAGTGACGAAGACGAAGAGAGTTCAGATGAAGATGTGAGTTTTTTCCTTCTACTGAACCTATTGTATTTTTTAAGTGTAACCGTTAGAAAATGTATCAGAAGCTATTCTTTAATCTTTTCTAAATTGTTCATAATGTTCCAAAGAATTTCCTTTTGTTCACCGCTCCATTTATAGTTTTGTTCATAGATTAATGAATGGATGATTGTTTTTGAGTTTAAGTGTTTTTACTGAATCATCTATTTGTTCTGTCAAGTTATGGTTCTTTTGCAGGACTCCAAAGCAGTTCAAAGCAAAAAATCAGTTCCGAAAGGAAAGCAAAATGGAGGTCCAGCAAGCAAAGCTAGCACGCCCTCTCTAATTAGTTCCAACCGCAGTTCTCCTTCAAAAGCAGCCAAACCAAAGAAAACAGTGTCAGTATCGAAGTCAGACTCCGAGTCAGCAGAGAACTCTGAAGATTCGCAAAAAGACTCGAGGAAAGCTACCAAGAAACAGAATAAGAAAGAAGATCCGAAATCATCCAAAGGAAAGAACAAATCTGCTAAGAAAAAGGTAAATAAAATTGAAATCATTGTTTCATACATCAAATCAAGAACGTTGCATGCACAGGTATAGATGAGATAACTGTAAACTGCACTTAATGAAAAATTCTCTCATCTGAACACAAAAAGTGTCTTTGTTTTAGGAGGATGTTGAAATATCTGAAGAAGTGTCGAGTGTTGTGGAAGAAGCAACTTTGCTCACTTTCGACGATGAGCCGTCCTCCTCACTGCCTTCAGGTTACAAATTACTATTAATTTCCCCCCTAAATCCCTCTGCAATCTGAATTCTGTCCAAATTTTGTGGTATACTTTTTTCTTTTATACTTTGAAATCGTCTGTTTCTAAATTTATTTCTGGCCGTAGTAACTTATTTCACGTGGTTCAGGTGATGCGTCAAAAGCGTCTTCGCAGCCAATGAGAGGCAAACCAATGCTGCCGACTATGATCTCACAGACTTCAGAAGACCGCGGAATGGGCAATGTTCCCGGAACTCCGACATCTGTTGCTGGATCGGCATCGGGCTCGGGTGTAAGTAGACATGCGAAATCCGCAGCAGCTTCGTCGGCATCAGCGCGTACAGTTTCGAGCCAGTCTTCGGCCGGAGACAACGGTATAGAGTCAGTCGATAAAATCTTGTTCGGGGGTGCTGCCTCATCTAAGTCATCAAGCGTTGCAGCGGCTAAAGTAGATTACAAAGACTTCAGAACTATTTTTCAAGGGTCAGAACACATGGCCAATGGTGTTACATCCTCTAAAGGGTCAAACAGCAACGGTTCTCAAAAAGATGGGTCATCTTTGGACTCCTCGTTGTGGGGTTGATCGGATAGACCTTAATTAAGACTTAACGTGAACAGAATTTTGAAAACAAAAGTAGTCTTCAAAATATGCGAAGATCGATGAACAAGCATTACAATACATCAATCAAAATTTGCACGTTATGACTTGGTTTTAGTCTCAGACGATCATTTGCAATTTCATCAAAGTTAAGTTAATCAAATGCTAAAGCGAAACAATGTAGTCGATTAAGTGAATGGAAGGACGACGACATGCCATGACGACGCAGCTGCTGCGGAAAACCTTCACCTTTTAATTTGAAATTTACGCCTTTTAGTTCTAATATTCGGAGCTTGTATCCTTCAGCGGGAAAGTTATTTTTTGAGACTTAAATATACTTTGAATGGCGAGTAGTTTAGGTAGTTAGCTCCTTAGTTAATACTAGTTATCATTGAGTTATAGCTGGATGCAATAGTACTAGTAATCCTGTCAGTTTTCCCGGGTGCTCACTTGTCAAAAAGTGTGTTGGTACTTGCTTGATGCGTATCAGTTGGTTGATCCGCAGCACTGTGTTGTGAGCGTGTTTGTAGTCATCTCCATGACTCACTTGACCCTAAATGTACTCAAATTTACTCCCGTTTGCTTAGTAGTTTCATTCTGAAAATAGCGAAATGTTTGTTTAATTCATCTCTTAGAAGCATCACAATAGCAGCGTGCACAGTTTCTTTTTGCGTTTTTGTTGTCTTGTTTCAGACTGAAATATAACCACATATTTGGGCGAAATTCTCGTTTTACCCGGTGCTATAAATTGAATATTGTGTCTAGAAACAAAGAATCTGCACATATTGCATGTTTTTGCGAATAAAGGCATCCATGTCTCCTGTTATTTGTTTGAATTGGTTAATTACCAAATACGAAGCGTGTATTTATAAATTATTTAATTTAATATTTTTATCTTTAATTAAATGGAAGTATATTTTCAAATTGTATATTTTGGTTCGAATTTACGTCTGTTAGAATTATAACAACTTCATTGTCTTCTAGTTTTTGCATGTATTAGTGCACAGCAGTATCTGCTCGCGTTTAGAGGTTTAGAGTGTAGATTCGATACAGATTGTAAAAAATTCAACGAAAGAAGGAAACATCATTCCCTTTGTGGTAAAATTACCATGGCAAACTTGACTTTTATGTAAAGTTGTTTGGCACAGATTTCATCCCAATAAATTTTGTTGGCGGAGTTTTTCCTATAGCAGAAAAATTTCCCTTTCCAAAAGTTTACTCCAAGCTGCATGGCGGTGGGCACACGTATCAGCCGGATAATATTTATTGAATTGGAGTGAAAAATGGTAGTTGTTTTGATAAATGAGACGAAATCTGCTGTTTTGTTGAACAGTTGAACATTTTTCTAATTTTTTTTTAAATGATGAAAACTGCCATAGGACGAAATATCTTTGCACACAAACACATGTAGCGAATTGAAATAGCTTAAAATACGCTTTCCTTTTTTACTTCATCTTAAGAGGTTCCCGTTTTCGGCATAAGACTCCTTTTTTAGCTGATCTTCTTAAGAGTAGATGAACGTAGTTTAGACTCTTATAAAGGTCGTGATGATTTTTTTCAGAAGTCTCAAAAATTTTTTCAGGCTCAAATGTACTTTTCAGCGACTCAACTTGTGATTTATTTTCAAGTTCAGTTCCTTTCCTTTCTTTAAAGGAATGCAAACTCCTCTATCGAACAGCAAATTGTAAAGGTCATGAAAAACGCGATCAACTTCTAATTTCGAAAATGGAAATTATTTATCAGATTTGACAGCAAAATAAGTTTTACCTATTGATCCAGTCTCCTCAAATTGGGCTAATTTAATCAAAATTGTGTCAATCAAGAGCTTTAAAGCCAAGTTTTTTTCTTGGAAATTCGAAGTCAGTATTTGTTTTCTGTTTTCTTGCCTGCATTGTCTCTTTTTCAACTGTCTGTTGGCTATGTTTTATTTTTTGAGGGGCTTTCAATTTTAGACTCCTTCACTTTTACAATGTGGCGTGAGTAAAAGCTGCGTTTTTGGTTACCTTAAAGATCATTACTAAGAGTTAGATAATTATTTTGGGGTGGTTTTTCTCTCATATTTTGTCTATTTTTTGAAGCAGACCTTTTCTTAGTGTTCAAGCCCTCAGTGCGATGCACTCCTCACTTATTTGTTTTGACTTTCGAAGAAAATGGTGAAATATTTGGACTCGGTGTTTTTGTCTCCGGACAAATTTCGATATTTTAACTAACAATTTTTGACGGACTTTTTTGTTTTGATTTCTTATTTCATTTAACATTGAAACACATCTCAACGTAATTAACGCCTTGAGAGCAAAATTAAAAATCTACATAGTTAAGGGTGTTTTAAAATCACCACTTATCATAATATAATGCGCGCTCTACTTGTTTTCCATTAACGCGTAGCATAAGCAGCCTATTATTCCAGCTCTTAATTCAATTGCAATCCTTTTGAGGCACGCTAATTGGTCCAACTAACGCGTTGATGGATGTAAATAAAAAATCATTTTTTACCTAAAATTCCGTGTAGGGGTAAAATCTGCAAAAAAATGAATCTTTTAGAATCTTTTTTTTTGGATTTTTATGGTTTAACCAAAAAACTACCAGATTAGCCTGAAGGATATTCAGGGCTGCGCCCTTATACGAGCAGTCTTGTTTTGATTTCTTAATTCGTTTGATATTGAATAAAGATCATATCGGAGTAACAAAAGAAACAAAAATTGCACTGGCGTGCGCGAGAGGACGATATTTTGCATGCAATAGACTTGCGTTATTGAACTGCTCATGTTTCAAATCACTTCAATTTCTACGCGAAAATCCTAGACGAGGAAAAGGCATTTTTTCAAAGTTGAAATGAGCTATTAGTGTACAATTTTAACCGCTCGCGCGATATCTAGGCGCTAGTTTTCAGAGACCTTCTTGGTAAAAAAACTAGTGCATGTTTTGATTTGATTGTATCGCTCAACTCGTGATAAGCTGAAACCTCCTAATTAGTTTTTGTTTCTTGTGTTTGCGAAGTACATCTTTGCCGCTGCATTCAACCTAGGAGAATTTGGTTTGCTCTGACAATTGTTGGTGATATGTTACAATAGGTGGTAATTTTGAGTACAGTGCATGTAATAAGTTTGAGAACTATAATGCAGAATATAGTTATTTCATTTGCAATCAGTTGTACATGCTATAAGATAGTTTTTGCAATTATATTACTCTGGCAAATGAAATGCTCTTCAAAAGTTCAATTTTTACACTTCTTGCACCTAAAAATTTGGCTTTTGAAATAAATTATAAATAATGAGCGAAGTATAACAAATAGCGATCCAGCTACCACCTATTGTAATAAATCACCCATTTGTTATGTCATTTTCGCCAGCTAAAGTAAACCATGCTTCCCGAGACAGGCACCACAATATATACTCAGTGACAGCAGATTTTTTTTCTGACTAACGTTCAAACACAATAGGACACGATGTTAAGAATAAATCAACTCAACAGAGACTGGCAGTTAAGACCTTGTTGGGACATCATTTATTTGAATTTTTTTAACAGTAGTCGGCGCGGACCAATCATTTATCATTTTCGCAAAGGGGATGAGCGAAATTTCAAGGAACTCTCCTAAAACTGGTACAATATCTATATGATTGTGTTTTACTGCACTTCGTCTGTATGACTTTGCATCGTCCATCAGCAATAACTGGTTAAAGGTAGTTCATTACAGCCTATGAGTAAAGTAGTCTCTCAGATACCTTTTCTGTCATGTTATTCTATGAACTTAATTTTTCAACGTCTCGTTTCGACTCTAGATGAATATGAACTCATAAATACCGAAATATTTAAATTAAGCTTGCTGACTGAGTCACACGGTGCTAGGAAATAAAGGCGACAGAACATAAGACGACAAGCTATTAAGCATAAGTAAGTTTGCAGTCTTCTGATTGGTTACGTTTTTCTTAAAAACAAACACGCAAACTTTGAAACAACGAGAGAAAAAAAACAATCAGCTTTTTAATGAATTTTTAAAATTTTCTGAAAGACCACAGGGCAACAATTGTCTAAACAGCTATCGTCTTATTTGCCAGCCACCATAAAACTCATCAAGTTACTGCCAAGTTTGGTAGAAGCCGTTCATCTTTGCAAAATCTTCTGTTTGTTGCAACAACCAAATAAATGATTTAAGACTCGCTAACTGTAGAGAAATGGCTCAATTTGTTAATAGACAGTATTTCTTTTATTAGCCAGAGGGTTTGGAAGTGCTTGTCTCCTCCCCCTCCGCCCTGCACGTGACACATAAGGAGGTGGAGTTGCTGAACAGACTGTTGGGGCGGGGACTGTCAGTGAAGGCCAGGTTCACCCGCAAGCCATTCATATACAACGAGCACAAGGTGTCCGTGGAACTGATCTTCGCCAACACAGCCACTGACAACACTCACTTTTCAAACATTTCTATCACCGAAAAGGTTAAAACGCAAACATCTAACTAAAAAAATAACTGTCCAAAAATGTGATATCGAAATTTTCTCCTCACTTTTCAAAGATTTTTATCACTGACAATGTTAGACGCAGATATCGAAAGTTGAAATAAATCCAAGTGCTCAGGTATGAAGAATAATATGGACGTTATTTAAATACTAAAAACGTATCAGTCTTTAAAGAATTCTAGATCCTGAAATGTCAGTTTTTTGACAGTTTTTTGTCAGTTCAAAAACTACAAAAGTAATTTTTCTAAATATATTTTGGAAATAACTATTTTTAAAACATTCGAATATCTATTTCTTTTGGTTAAAACTTTGTTCGAACCGTCTATTCAAATGGCTGAGGCTTAAGTTGCTTTTTTTCAGGAAGTGTTAGGTATTAGTTCACTTAAAATTCAATTGTGCGCAGTTATTCTTGTTTTGTTTCTAAATTGAGGTTTGCGATTAGCAAGCGATACTTTAAATCATGTTTTTTTTTTGTAATTTCAGAAGTTGCCAGCTGGCATGTCTTTGGATGAGTTCCCCAAAATAGGACAGCTTCCTCCCGGTCAACAACAGAATGCCTACATCGGAATAGACTTCTGTGACTCACTCCAGCCGGCCCACTTCACCATTGCATGTACAGTGAATGACAGTGAGACCAAACAGTTCCCAGTCCAACTGAGCTGCACAGTTGGAGATCTGTTGAGGCCATGCACTTGTTCACACCACACTTTCTCCGCCATACAAAGTGAGTTTTCGACCATATTATGTGAGTTTTTGGCTATACAAAGTAAGTCTTAGGCCATACAAAGTGAGTCTTAGGCCATACAAAGTGAATATTAGGCCATACAAAGTGAATCTTAGGCCATAAAAAGTGAATCTTAGACCTTACAAAGTGAGTCTTAGGCTATACAAAGTAAGTTTATATGATCGGCGATAAGAGGTCAACTATGAAATTATATTATTTGTTTTTCAATTACAAGGATTTAATTGTCTTCAAGAGGAATAGATGCAGTGAAGACTCTTGTATAGGTCTTGGTTTTTTTCAAGAAAAAGCCTTAAAATTTGTTAACGCTCAATTTTGATTTTTTGCGGTTTGACTTCGAAGTTCAGTTTATTGAAAAAAAGGCAAACTTCACTATTGATCAGCAAAAGTGTAAAGGTCACGAAAAACGTGAACGACTTCTAGTTTCGAAAGTGGATTTTAAATGTTCAGATTTCCCAACGGAGTTAGAAAGTTACCTATTGATCCAGCTTTCTCAAATTGCCCCACCCAAGTTTTTCTTGAAAGTCAAAGAGCCGTAAGGCCATATATATATTTTTGGAAGTTTGAAATATTTATATTTATATATATATATATATATATATATATATATATATATATATATATATATATATCACCAGTTAAACATACACATACTGCTCCAACCAAATTTTTCTTGAAAGTCAAAGAGCCTTAGGGCCATATATATATTTTAGGAAATTCGAAAGTTGAAGTTTTTTAAAACAACTTCAATCGGCGTCCTCCAGCATTAAATATATATATTCGCTTTAGCGATTGCTGTCTCTTTTTCTATTCGCTAGCTTGCAGTGCTACGCTTGCGTTGTATCGCGAGAGATGTGAAGGTACTCTTCGCCTCTGAGTTTCATTTTGCGGTCAGAAATGTGTTAATTGTCCCGACCACTGGGAGAGGGGGTTTCGAAAGCTCTCATTTTACACCGGTTTTGTAGTGTTTTTGAATGAAAGAGTTAAAGTTGTTTGCTGATTCGTTTTAGCCAAGTTGTCTTATGGTATGCTTGCGAAAATTATGACAATATTTTTTGTTTATCGGTGTTATTCGGGCCATTTTCCAGTTTGAATTGTTTTATTTTGGCTTATCATCTGTGTGTATCTGTGGATGTATCAATTTTAAATATTGAGAAATTTTTATAAACTCAGTCCATAGACTTTAAAAAGTTGTGCATTTTAAGTAATTTCTGTTCCTTTTTTTGTTCTGTTCCTTGATGGTTTCTTTCGGCTTCTCTTGATTCATTTTTGTTCGTGATCAGTTACACTTCTTCTCGTTTTGCAGGCAGACTGACGGGCATGAATGAACACGAGTGCAAATTGGACACACTAACTGCAAACTTAGACGAGAGTGAACTCCTCAAGAGAGTGTATGCCGTCTGCAATGTCGGCTTAGTGCCCTGTAGTGTTCAAAGTGGACCACGTCTGTTGTACTCGTTCTCTGGAGTGACAACTTCAACCGGCACTCCAGTTCTGGTCAGTGTGGACTTGGAGAAGAAAAAACTGACTGTGAATTGTGAGAAGATGGTTGTGGGATCGAAGCTCATGAAAGAACTGAATCAGAGTCTGGCTCAGTAGTTTTTTATGGGCAAGTCTCTCACTCGTGCCCCTCTATATCATAGTGATCAAATGTGATTTTGAAAATGTATATTAGTTCCTACCACTCAGCTTTTGGCAGATAATCGACATCTTTCAAACTCCTTCCCTCTCCTAAAGTGCTGTGTTTTTGGTTCTCCAGGGCAAATAATTGATAAATTTACAGATAAGATTATTGGTACAAATCAAGTATGCGTAAACTACCTTTAACTATATAGTAGTCACACTTGATAATAAGATATCTGGGATCACGGTTGAAAGAGTAGCCCAAATATATTTATCAATACGTTTATTTAAGTCCCATTTCTGACTCAATTGTAATCGAAGTGTGATTTTGGAAACGTTTTACAAGCAAGTCTGCTGCTATTCGCGAATAATAAATAGCTTCTCCGTGCTGTATGAATGGTTCTAGAGGGTAGGTAATAGAAAAGTAGACTGACAGATTATGGCTTCATATGCATTAAAACGAAAAACATGGGTTTGATTTTGTTCCAAGTGGTCAAAAATAAGTTGCATTAATTTTGAAATCATTTCTTGTGAGTTTTAGTGTTGTCGATAAACAGTGCATTAATTCCTAATCCGCATATGTTGAAATACCAATAAAACAGCTTTAGTCAAACATTCAAAAAACTATTAATGAAGTAAACTGTATTTACCTTTGCATTATGAGTATATCTGTATATTTCGGTAGATCAAGTCTGTCATAACGATTATGTCAGAAACAGTCTAATTTAAAGTGTATCTATATCTATTGAATTCGAATTTAGATCAAACTTTTTTTAATAGTCAACTTCTTTGTCAAAATTAAGTGATCAGTCTCTGGGTATGGTGGGTGCTATCAATTTAGTTTTTTGGTGCTTGGGGTATTGCATGAAAATTGGTGGTGTTCATTTTTTATTTTTCTAACATCGCAATACCCACTTTCGTTTTCTTTTTTCATGCACTATCATTTTTAAAATCTCTCAATTTTGTTCTTATTGAGGAAAATAGACAAGAGGGAGCTTTAAAATGCTGTACATCCATCCAGAAGTGGATTTTTAGATTTTTTTCGACTACCCAACCAAAAATGGCGTTATTTTAGTAAAATCTTCCCAAAAATGCACAAAATTTTGTTATATGATCAAAAGTTTGTTATACATTGTCATCGTTATATGATCTGTCTGCCGTGGTCTTCAAAAAAAATGAAAAATAGGGGCTCAACTAAAGCTGAAGGCACATAATTGATAATTTTTAACCTTAGTTTCTCTAATAGTATAAGAGTGAAAATTTTCGTGAATTTGTAATTTTCCCAAAGATAACTTTTTGTGTACAATTTAAAAGGCATCGCTTATTTTGCTCGGAGGTTTCCCAAATGTTGCCTCGGTTAAACCCTTGGTATCAATTTCGGCCGAGTATTTTTTGAGAAGACTCAAAAATTTCAAAAAACAGACGAAATTATATTTTAACCTTTTCTTAGGACCATTACTTTTTTGTTAGAAAAATTGAAATTAAAGTAAAAAAAATCATAGTTTTCGAAGTGAAAAATTTGTCTAAAATCCTTTTGATTGTTCCGAGAGTCATTACAATAACGACCTTGCGAGCGTAGTGTACTAGTTTGAGCTTTCTTTTTTTTTCTAAGCTAACTATTAAATAAAAGTGTATCTAAAACTGATCAATTATTTGGTGCACTTTGGCTATAATCACGATCTAGGATCTGAGACTCATAATTTCCAGGTCGCATATCAAATCCGAGTCGTAGCCGCATTCTTACTAGTTCGAGGCTTATTTCTACTTTTTTAAAAATCTTTTTATAGAGCTGTTTTTGTCGTGTTCTGGCTAGTGTTTGCGAAACGAAGCTTCGCCTCTATGTTTAAGAGGAAAAACTTGGGAGTTTCCGCTTATGCAGATGAGCTTCAGACAATCAGATTTGGGTGCGTAGCTTTCCAGAAAAATGAATAAGTTTCGAAAAACTATCAAAGTCTGGAGTATGTCTTACGAGGGAAGAAAACATTTTTGCAATTTTGTTTTCGGCCTAGCCGCTAATGCAGAGGAGCTTCTTACTATGGACTCAGCTTTTTGTAAGCGAAAATTTTCGGAAGCTTCTGATGATTGAAACCAAAAACCTTTGATTTGGTAGGGTAGTTTTTTTGAGAAAAATGAAGTTAAAAAAAATTTAAAAATATTTTCACGGCCCTATATTATTGGGTGAAAAATGTGGTCTGAGTCGCTAAAGCAGAATAGCTCTCCACAAATCATTTTTTCCAATGAAACAAAATTTTTTGATATGGGATCTCGGTTTTGAGAAAAGAAAAAAAATCAATTAACGGTCAAAAATTATAGAATATGTTATTCTGAGGGAAAATGACTTCTTTGATAAAAGATTTGAAACATAGCCGCTAATGCAGGGTAGCTTCTTGCAGCGCATTTTCTCCTTTAGATCCAAAATATCAGACTTAAGGGGTAGTTTTTGAGAAAGTGGAAACAATCCAATGTTACCACTTTTATACAAATCGACAAAGCGGTTTTCGAGAAATATTGAATTCGAGAAAGTAAACAGATTTTTCAAAGCGTATCATACAATAAAACGAAAAAACCCAAATGCCTATATTTTCATAATACTTGTTTCCATCAAACGCTGACATTTTGGAACGCTGACATGAGTCCAAATGTGTTTTAGTCAGTTGAATAACTGTGGAATATGATTTAAATTTCTTAAACATTTTCGGTTTGTCTTAAATCATGCCTTCAACGACTCTACTACGCATTTTTTGAAACAAAGTGAAAAATCTGCATGTTTTTTTAGAAGTTTTTTAAATGCCTAATGGACTTCTTTTATTGGTTGATTTAATAGTAAAATTGCCAAACAATTTGTTCAAAACAGCGTTCGAACTGCTTTGAAGTCTGAAATATCAGTACTAAAACGAAAAATATATATTTTGTTTTTGACAAATTTTGCATTTTTTTGAAATTTGCATTTGAGAATAAGAAAAAAAAACATGTTTCACTAAATTTGATGGCCAATTACTTGTCTGCGTATCTGTTATCGGCTGAGTTGTTACATCTTGAAAGCGTTTTTTTTTCGCTGCGCGGATTCTTTAATTTTGCTTTTAGTGTTTGATTTACTCCTACAATTTGTAATTTTTTTACCTTGACTTCGTTCTTCATTTGTTTTTTTTTGTTTTGATTCGCTCAAAAAAATCCTCGGCCCAAATGAGTTTGGCCTATCTTTTATTGGCCTAATGACCTGGTTTTGGGTCGTTTCAAGGGGAAAATGTAAAATGTTTTGCTTTGATAAGTTTTTCTCAGAAACTTCATCTGATTTTCAAAAAGGGATATCAATTGAAAAACTGCCGGCTCTCCTGTATGCCTGCATACTCCCCTATAGTCTTCTTAGTTGACACCTTGTCTACAGCCTTCGAAAAAATCTGTGCGCGAATATTTGACCCATATTTTTTGGTTTTTTCATTTTCTCGAAAAATATCCCTCTCAAATCTGAGTTTTCGGTTTCAAAAAATAGAACGGTCTAGAAAAATTCCCTGAATATGCGGCTTCGCCCATACTTTTTACACAAAGTTATGGCCCTCGGAATAGTCAATATTTTAAATTTTGACCGTTTTTCAAACTTTTCGAATATTTTTGAACACTGCACTGCCATGTTTGAGATTTTGGGTTCAATTCAAAAAACGGGTTGTAAAAAGCTCATTCGTTTATGAGATTACTCTCAAATTTTTCTGACACCAAAAATCATGGCCGGCGGAAAAATAAAAGTTTGGATTTTTGATCGTTTTTTTTTAACAAAATTTTGACATTTCTCGAGAACTACCCTCACAAATCTGACGTTTTGGGCTCAATCAAAATTAAAGGATAGTAAACCTCTTCGGCATAAGCGACATAAGCGACTACACCCTATTTTTTCACACAAAAACCTGTCTCTGGGAAATTTCAAAGTCTTGATTAGTTGACCGCTTTTTGGACTTGTCTCGCTATCCTGCCAAATCTGATATCAAAGGTTTGATTGAAACAACACGTTGTTGAAAGCATACTTTTATAACCGGGTGTTCCTAGTTTATTTAAGAAAAAATTTATGGCCTTCTAACAAGTTGAAGTGTTAAAACTTTGACAGTTTTTTTACAAACTTTTTGACTTGAGGCGAAAACTGCCGTGATAATTTTGAGGTTGTGTTCAAACCAAGAATCCCGGTTTTGGATTCTCCACTGTTCGAGAGGCCACAACCTGCTTAGTGCAGGAAAATGTATGGTTTTTGGAAATCTTTTTGAGGGCTTTCTAGAACTTTTGAACGTTTTTAGAAACTTTTTGAATTCTCTTTAATTTTACAAAATCAAATCTAATGAAATGTTAACTCAAAAAACCGTTTGCGATAAACGTTACTGCAGAAGCAGCAGCTGCTGAGTTGTCTGCCAGAGAATTGTTATCTCTTTGGGAAAATTGATTAACCTAAGTTTTTTCTAGCTTCTCACTTATTTTAGTAGAGAAAAAAGTAAGGTTTTGGACAAACCCAGTTTTTGAAGCCACTTTCTTTACTCATACTGCATCAGTGTTTCAAATTCATTCAAAACCAAACACATATCTCCAGCTTTATTTGGGCCTTCAGTTGTTTTTAATCTGAACACACGAAAAGGTTGGTTTAATTAGTTTTTTTGACTTTTTTAAATGTTTTTGTTGTATCGCAAGTGGTGGAGAAAAACTGGAAGTTTCAAAATCTTTTTAAAATCGTTATGCATAAAAAAATGATGCAAAATATGTAGGTCGCTTCTGGACAAACCAATCGCTTCAAATTTTCAAAACGTTCAGTACATTTCAATATACTGACTGCAACTTGAGAATCACTCTTGCCATATCAATTTTTTGGTTTTCTTGACAGGTCAAGAAATATTTCCTTTTTCTACTCCATAACAGTTGCAATGCTATGAGAGTCCATTGATCGTTGCCATCTGTGTTTTTCTTCCTGAGCATTTTCTCAGTGAAATTTTCGGCAAGAAAACTTTTGGTCTCTGTAGTTTGGTTTTGTATGCAGAAAAGTCTTACAATAACTTCAGTTATACGTTTCAAATTTTTCTAACAAGAAACTTGAATAAATGTCAGAAAATAAATTGAATTTTACTCCAAGATAGTAAAAAGAAAATGAGCTCATGGCCTTAAATCGACTCTGATGTCTAAATGGTTGCATTAGTTTTTCTTTTTTTTCTATCGTAAGTATGACTTCAAGGCATCCTATTCAGAAAATAAGACGAAAAACCCAGAAACTTTTTTTCGAGTCGCGAAAAAAATCAACTTATCACTAAATGGTTTCATGAATGTTCGTAAATTTCACTGAGTTTTCACTTTCAAGCCACGGATGCATTTAATTCTCACTTGATTTTCCAAATTGACTGGCCATGTACGTTTTTGGTTAACTTGCTCAAGCTAGGGGGGCTTGCACTAAATCATGTTTCAAAACCAATTATTATTTAGAATTCCTTGAGCCAGCTTAAGTATAAGTTGAGATGTCGGAGAATGGGAATGGTTGAATCTGGAAAACGTTGTCTATCTTGTCTGACACTCGTTGATTTTGTTAACGGATCTATTATTTAAAAACTGAGGTTTTCGAAACGAAGTTCTGAGTTTTACGGAAAAAAATGGTTGAAAAAAATGCTTGCAATTTTCAAAAACTCTAAAATTGACAGGAAAACTAACCGAAGTTGAAAAATCTAGATAAGAGGAGGATCTACGACTTTCTCGAAGGGGTTGGTTTGGGGGTAGATTTTCAAAAAAACTTTTATCGAACTTTTTATTA